GCCAAGGTAAGTGCTCAGGAGCCTGGGACAGCTTTCACCGCTCTGGGACAGGTTTCAGCCTAGCTCTCCCTAATGGGATGCTGACATCATCCATCTGAAAGAAGGGACACAAAAGGGGCTGGAAAAGATTGCTTTGGGAGAAGGATTATTTCAGTCCCAGCAAAGCCAAAACATGAGACTAAGGCAAGAGACATCAAAAGATTGAATTAGGAAAGATGTGCCTACGATTATGAAAGAACACTTGATTAATTGTTGTAATGGCATTGCCATGATCAAAATGCTTTTGATTACAAAATGGGGGAAGAATGGAGAAGAACTGTATTTGGGGGTGAATTTTCAACATTCTGAGCTGTCCCATCACTGCAAAATGTGCCTCAGGCCTCACAGAGCATTCTGGTAACTCTTCTGTTAGTGTTCTCCAGTATTTTCAGACAATGTTAAGATACCCAGTGCTATTTATATGAATATGCAAAATGCTTAGAACTTAGCAGAAAAAAAGCTCTGGTAAAAATAGCTTCTTTGATACCATGTATCATGTCTATGAAAATATATTGTACATCTTTCTGTATGCATAGAGGAAAACATGAGGCACTTAATGATATGGCAAAATAATACTTGCCTGCATGGCCTACATTCTAAAAAACGTGGGTTTTTTTTTTCCTGTTTGCTCACATTAAGTGAATGTTTATGCTCAATGAAACAGTCTGTAAAGTATATCTTAAAGTTAAAAAGGCTGAGCTCTTTTAAACCTGGTTGAGACTCTACAGAATCTCATTTGGGTGAAAATTAATGTTGCATGAGGAAAATTGCTGTTAATTTTATGCAAAAAAGGCCATTTTTCTGAAAAGCATATTTCAACTCTCCTAAACTATGAAGTTTTTCAGAATTGAAATGTAAGATCTGCTCATTAGGTAAAAAGAATCAGCTATGAACATCCCCTGTACTTTAAGAGCTCAACTTGGCAATAGAACTTATTTTGAGAACACAAAGCAGTATACTTTGAAATTGCTTAAAGAGATAAAGGAAATCAATCTATCTTTCCATCTTATGATTGATATACCATATCACCAGTACAGCAGCTACTGCACTAGCTCTCACAGCATTGTTCCTTTTTTCCCTTACAAATAGGGAATACTATTATATAGTACTACTATATAATACTATTATATAATATAATATTAGTATAATAATAGTAATAATAATAATAGTATTATATAATATAATTACTATATAATACTATTATATAATATAATATTAGTATAATAATAGTAATAATAATAATAGTATTATATAGTATAATTACTATATAATACTATTATATAGTGAATATTCCTATCTTTTTTACAGACAGGAGTAGGGAATATCGTTTTGTATTTAAGCTTATGAAAATTTAACTTTGTACTTTGTGACTTTCAAAATGTCATAAATGGAGAGACTACATAAAGCTCTCTGCGAACCTGAAGAAGATGCTGTAGAAATGTGTTGATACAAATACAGTGTATAATGACTACATTTCACTACAAAATCTCACAGGGCTCCTTTACAGGCTTGTTTGCATACAATACTTGAAGCGTAAAGTTTGCTAGTCTATTTCTCTAAAATTTTTTGTCTTACTGACTCTTCAGAATTCCTGTACAGTAGGTTTTCTGTAGCAAAATGGCAGAGGCAGAAACTATGGTAATAATTGGATAATGTATCTGAAAGAACAAATTACTGTTAAGAATTTTAATTTTTTTAATTGAAATATCTGATGCCAAAACAAGTCTGTAAAATAAGTCACAAATATATGAAATTAGTCACCGTTGGTTTGGACCATGAAAGTCAAACCATTAGACCATATCATTAAACGAAAATTCCTTGATGGTTAAAAAAAATACGTAATTGGGGAAAATAATAAAATATTGGTTTTTAGGATAGCTGTAAGCCAATACCATCCTCCTAGGCAAAACCAGCAGGTGTGCTCAGTAGCAGAGAGAAAACCTGGGGATGCTTCAGATCATGCGTTCAGGTAAGAAAAAATCATCTTGCATTACAAAGTCCTAATTATGAAAAAAAAACAACTCAGCAAGAAAGTGTGATATGGACTATTTCCTCTGAAATAAGGCCACAAGCAATTTGAGTGAAATGTGTTGTAATCAGGGCAAAGTGGTGCTCTGCTTTTATATTTTTGTGCAAGAAACTGCAGCATGCCTTGAGGTAGGCTTCATTTGCTGGCTCTTTGACACACTTAAGTATAGGTCATCAATACGTGACAGAATGACACACTTCTTGTTATTACCATCACTGTAAGCATGTCCTCTTGTAAGTACCATCAATGTGTCATCAAAGTTCAACATGGATTTCCTGGGAATGCTGCACAGCCTCCAGGGCTGTGTTCATAGGAACTAAGGAACATACTGGTTAAAAAGAAAAGAAAGCAATGGGTTATGGTGACTTATAAATATGAAGGACAAAAATTTTCAAGTGGTCTCAACTGACTTCTTTGAATATCATTTTTAGTGTCCCAGCCTGCCATTAGACAATTAAACTTTCGGATATTAGTTCCTTAAGACAGGTGGCAGAAGAGCAAAGCAAAGTCATGCTCCAAAGAACACGTGGTTTATTCAGATAAGAGCAATAAAAGTAGAAGTGTTTTACCTTATTATCAGTAAGATCAACAGAGTGAAATTCTAAGAAATAATGAGCTAAAATGAAAAAGCTGAAAAAAACCCAAGTGGTATGAGGAAATTAGCATGTTGGTCTACAAATAGATACAAAAGAATCTGTTGTGGGTAATAAGAGAGAAGTTGTGAGCTTACAAGGATGGTGAGTCTGTAACGCAACAAGTTAACAAAAGAGAAAGAGTTTATGGGGGAGGGAGAAGGAATTCCAATTCCTCAGTCACGAGACCAGGAAACACTGCCTCATACACTTGCTGCATTACACACATGCTTCTGAAAGGGCACGTTTCCCTCTTAGACATGAAGAGACCTGTCACAGGAAAAGAGATGCTAAAGTGTGATTAGGAGAAGAGGTAGGTATTTTATCTTTGATTCATCTGGTCTGTCTGCATACATTTGATTTCTCTTTGGTGAGAAATGGGTCACAAAACCCTGGCATCCAATTTCTAGAGCTAGGTTTTTATTTTGTGATACTTACCTGTACTGATAAGCTTACAATGCCTTATTTACTGTGTGGTTTTATGAAACCAAGCTGAAATGCAGACATCTTATGCTTGTCCTAAATATAGACACTGCATTTTTTTTTAATTGTCATTATGTTGATAAGGTTCCTCAATGGACCAAATTGGCAAGTCCTTCTCAAAAATTTTCCTAGGCTTTCAAGCTTGTGAATGAGATTAGCTCTAGCTGATAATTAGGCAACTTGATCAAATTAGACAGTGGCAGGTAAAACTGAGTATGTGTTTTCTGGGTAGTTTTGTCATTACTCTGTTTTTTATGAATAATAATGAAAGAGGCTTTTTTGTGGACAAGAGATCCATATAATAACCTCTCAGCCCAGACACTAAACCTGTTTTGGGTTTTTCTGATAAACCCACAAACACATCAAACCTATAAAAGGCTGATTTTTTTCTTACCACATGGAAAAGTTTCTGCCCACAAGATGTATTGCATTGGAGTTCTTTCCCACGTGAGAATAGTTGTAGACGTGCTATCTTGCAACCCACTCATTCTTGAACCTCTTCACCTCCTCTGCTGCAGCTCAAAGCACAGATCCAGCTATCACAGCAGTCTCTCAAGCAGTTAGTATATTTGGCAATATAACTGGTCTGCAACCAATATTTTCCTTTTTTTTTTTAATTTCCTGAATGTAACAATTAGTTCTCTAGAGAAAGGCACTGCCAAGTGTCAGAGCTGTGATACTATGAGTGACTGTCAGCTGTATCACAAGTACAGCTGTACACCCTTTCTTACCCTCTCTTCACCCTTTTCTAAAGGTCAGCTCTTCTACATGTTCCTAAGGCTCACACACAACACCTCCAGTCCCACTGCTTTAGTCAGGGCTGCCATTTTACTGACATTTTCATGTTGAAGCTGTTGATAACCACAGTCCTGGAAGTGACTAAGAAAAGTTTAATTTCTCATGGCTTTATAAGCTCATGCATCACAGCTGCAATTTTTAGAGGGAAAAAGTGTTAATGAAAAACTGTTCTCAGTCTCCACCTGACATGTTCATGGGGAAACCCAGGAGATTGTCATGTGCATGCAGGAACCCAATAGCCCAGCGGGTTTCACACTAGGGTTTCTAGTACATGCAGTGAGTCTTGCTGGAACAGCACACTTGATGGCAGGGTTCTGTGGGATCACGTAGAAAGGAGGAGAGAGGAAGTAGGGATGTGTGAGGATGCAAACAAGACAAGAGTGATTTGCAATACAGAAAGATACCAGACACACATTTTCCCCTTCTTGAGCAGATCTCAACATCCAGTGGTACCTGAATCCCTGTATTTCTATCCTTGTCTCTCCATTGCCTTAGGAAGGAGGAGGTTGTTTGAAATAATAAATCTGCCATATTCATATGCCCAAAGCAGTGTTTACCATAATAATAGAAAGTGCACTTCTGTTATTTTATTTGTGGTCCGCTTTCTGACCTCCTTTAACTCTCCCACAAGAGAGACCCAGGATTGCAGGACACCACCCCACTCCTAGAAGAAGTGTCTTAACTACTCATTCTACTTCTGCTGTGGAAGCTTCCATCTAAGTGACTTTGACAACATTTGATTTTGGGTTCCTATGCATTCCTAACTCCAGGAACATTAACATCCTCTGATATCATAAAAACAGTTTCTCTTTTTTAGAAAAAAAAAATAAAAAAATACCAAGAATCCCATAAAAACAACAGAAATGTAATAGCTGACATTTTTCCTTTTTGGTAGCAGAAAGCTGGAATCTTGTCAATCAGGTCCTGAAGAACTAACAGATGACAACCCATCAGACTACAACAGGGGGTTTTATTGCACACAGGCTGGAATTATCTCAAGGATACTATCGAGGTGGACAATGAACAACAACACTGAGTGTCATGATGATCACACCCTGGATAAGTATTTGTTTCCATTTGTGTACAGCATTGTGATGATGATCAGTATTCCTATCAACTGCATATCACTCTATGCATCTTGCATTCAGGTGAGGAAAAAGAATGAGTTAGCAGTCTACATCTTTAGCCTGTCTCTGGCTGACCTTTTGTACTCTTTGATTCTGCCTCTGTGGATTGATTATGCCTGGCATGGAGATGACTGGAGGCTCTCTGCCTTGCTTTGTCAGATTTTTGCCTTCCTTACATATATGAATTTCTACACCAGCACTGCGTTCCTTGCTTGCATCTCTCTTGACAGGTACCTGGCATTAGTTCACCCCTTGAAGCTCCAGTACTTGCGCACAAGAAGATTTTCATTGATTGTCAGCATAATTGTTTGGCTTCTGGAAAGCATCTTTAATTCAGTCATACTGGTGTACAAAGAAGTATTCAATGATCCTTGCAATTTCACTAATCATACTTTATGCTATGATAACTACCCCCTGGAAAGGTGGCAGGCAAACATAAATTTATTCCGGATATGCTCAGGGTACTTGGTCCCTTTGATAATCATTGTGTTTTGCTACCATAAGATCTACCAAGCAGTGAGGTATAACCAAGCAACAGTAGATGAAGAAAAGAAAAAAGTTAAGAAACTTATTGTTAACATCACAGTTAGTTTCATTGTTTGCTTCACTCCTTATCATGTTGTACTGCTTATCCGCAGCATCAAAGAACCTTCTACCTCTGACCCACATCTTTTGTTGCTGATGTATAAGATTTACAGGATTACACAGGCCTTAACAAGTTTGAATTGCATCACAGATCCCATTCTGTACTGCTTTGTGAGTGAAACTGCACGGACAGAGATAGTGAATTTGCTCAGGTGTTGCTTGTGCCTACGAAGGCGTGGGGAAGACCAAGTGAAAGGACAAGCTCTGTGCAGTTCTGCTACAAAGAACTCTGCACTGATCACCTACAGAAGTACTGGTGAAACACAGACTGTCAAAATTTCCTGAACCAGCACATGCAAAGGAATACTGGATAACCTAAAAGGAAAAGCAAGAAAAAATGTTCTAGGAGCTTGTGTACCTAGGAAATGCCCCCAAAGTCAGAGATATACCAGTCTAAGCAAAACCAGTAGCGGGAGCCAATAACAACTTACTATAGGGTCAATGAAATCAATGGGGTATCAACACATTTCTTGAAATCACGTGTGGTATATAAATCAGTGACAACAAACAAACACACAGTTAAGAAGGATGGCTGTGACATGCTGACAGAATTACTGAGGATCCCCCACAGCACTGTCTGCTGTTGCAGCTTGCTAGCCAGCCTGCTGCAATGTACTAAGCTGGAGGGAGGCTGAAGTCCTCTTTGTCCTGATAAGACAGAGGGAGTGTGGTAAATTTCATGTTATTTATGCTGCTATGTTGGTTCTTGTGTTTCATTAAAGACTCCAATTGTTCTTTAGCATACCCCTCAGACCATGCACTTCATATTTTGTTTACCTCCTGTGTATGGACACTTACCTGCATTTAAGCTTTTGTTTTCCTTGAAAAATATATGTTCTAATGTATAGCTGTATGTCATGAGTTTCATTACAATACCAGTATTGGGTTTCAGATAGTTGAAGATTCACTAATTCAAGTGCCTATAAAGAACCAAATTCTAGCCACCAGTGTTTTAATTTGGATGAAATGTTTCCTGATACATGGAGGGGAGGAACAGAAGGATAGAAAGGTGAGGTTTCACATCTCAGCAATGTAAAGGGCCAACCTTCAGAGTTGCTTATTGTGACTAAAATCTGGAGTGTGGTTCTGTTTTCAGACTCACTAGGGTAAGGTTTACATCCATTTACTTAACTGCACATGGAGGCCTCAGCTAGAGGTTCCAGGGCTCTCAGTCTGGCAGTTTTAAAAAAAATTAAACAAGCCAGGCAGCAATACTGGGAAACCAGCAAAGAGCATGAATGTACCAACAAACAGTAAGAATGCAAACAAAAGAACCCACATTTTAAAAAGTTGGTGTTAGCACAAATCAGAAGTGCAGCTGTTAATTCAGGGACTGTTCGTGTACAGGCAGAAACATCTGCCTTGCTCCCTGGTTCCTTGTCCCATCCAGACACCTGACCCTCTGAAAAGAGTTAAAATATTACATTTTTTTCTCTTCTCACAACCTTTTTACTTTTGCTCAATTTCCAGGAAAAGTATTTGGTTATGGTGATTTGTTTGGGGTTTTTTTTATTATTTCATAGGGAAAGAATTTTTCTTTCCATCAAAAAAAAAAAAAAAAGGAATTGCCCTCTAGCAAATTTGTGTGGTGGAAAGATTTGACCAGCACTTTTCAGCACCCTTTTAGGTCTGACATTATGTGTGGAGGGTGTGCATACAGTGGTCACAAGCAATAAGATACTTCTTATGAGAATGTCCCTCTGTGTTTAAATAAAAAAAATTCTCCATTGCAAAGAGCATTTCCATTGTTTTCATGAGTTGCTCTGTGTGTCTATACTTTCTGTTAGTTTCACATTCTGAAATGGGACCTTGCCAGGCTGTGCAAGCTGGGCTTGTTCAGCCTGGAGAAGACAAGACTTAGGGGTACCTAATGACAGTTTTGCAATCCTGCAAAGAGGATATTGAGAAGATGGAGCCAAGCTCTGCACAAGAGCTCATAGCAGGAATGGTGTGTTTTAAGCCTGGCTGGAAATTAGAGACCACGCAGCCACTTGATCAACCCCCTTCTGTCCCCGCACAGACAGGTGAAATGGAAAGGAGAATCAAAGTAAAACTTGTAGGTTTAGATAAGTACAGTTTTATGATCAAAAATAAATTTAAAATGCAGTAATAATCATAATAATAATGATAATCATAAGGGAAGAAACAAGTGATGCACAACACAATTGCTCACCACCCACTGACCAGTGCCAGACCCCACTTCCTGAGCCCAGATCAGCCACCCTTCTGGGTGACTTCCCCCAGGTTACCTACTGGGCAGGACATTCTATTGTGTGGAATATCCCTTTAGCCAGTTCAGGTCACCTGTCCCAGCTATGCCCCCTCCCAGTTTCTTTTGCAAATCTCCTGACTGGCAGAGCGTGAGACAAGAAAAAAAGTCCTTAACTTAGGATAAACACTTAATAAAGCCAAAACACAATAGTGTGTTATCAACACCATTCTCATTCTGAATTTAAAACACAGCACTGTAACACCTGTTGAAAGGAACTTAACTCTACCTGAGCTGAAAACAGGACAAGGAGGGACAAGAAATCATGTGTAAAACTTGAAGCAAGAAGGGTCAGAGTTGATATAAGGAAGAGTTTCTGAGCTATGAAGAACTGATAAGCAGTGGAGCAGGTTGCACCAAGATGTTCTGTGGGCTCCATCCTCAGCAGTTTCCAATACCCAACTCAACAGAGCTTGAGCAACACCTGACCTTGTAGGTGACCTTCCCTCTAGCAGAAGGTTGCACTTGGGATTCCCTGAGGTCCCTTCAAACTACAATTGTCTCCTGTGATCCTGTGGGTAGTCACTATTCTGGCTGCTGCTTTCCTCTCTAGAAAATTACATTCCCTTTTTTGTTTGCATTTACTGAATTTTGTTTTGATGTGGATTTGTGTTTGTGATTTGGGTTTTTTTTTCTGTAGTTCCTTCTTATATATTATGAAGGAAGAATTGTGCAAGGAACAGTGCAAGTTACTTAATCATGATTTTTTTTCCATTGCTGACCTTTGCATTTTGCAACAGAATGTGAAATTTCAGTGTAGCATTGAAATTAAAGCAGAACCAAACTTCACTGTAACTTCATGGAAAAAAGAACTCAGTAGTTCATTTTTAAATCTTTCACATGCCATAAAGGTTGGAATGTTAATTCTGTTTGGGCTTTTAATTTAAATAATTTAAGAACTAATTTAAAGAACAATGAAAACTGAAGCTAAGCAACAAAACTGAGTCAAATTTAACCTCTGTGTCAGGGAGTAGTGAGAGCTGGCAGCTCCACAAGGGGCAGTGAGCCAGGAGCTGAGGGTGACAGCCAGGCAGACTGGGCAGCATCGTCTCCAAGCCTCAGTCCCACGGCACCCAGCAAGGCAGAAAAGCAGGTCTGGCCAACTGCTCTCTGGCCACCAGACAAATTTCTGGTGACAAGGCAGGTTGGAGGTCAAGCTGGGAAGCCAAGTCAGGAAGGCAAGGTTGGGATCAGCAAGGTACAAGGCTGGACATGGCAGCACCATGTCAGCATTGCCTGTGCACGGGCAGTTAATTCCTAAGGTAGTAGGAGAAGAGACCACAGACTCTGTTGGTAAAGAGACCCTGAGCTTCTGCAAAAAGCTTCATTTCCACAAAATTTCACCCTGAGATTCTATATTCTTTAATATTCCACCAATGCTTATGAAAGGCATAGCATGGACCAGCTTACATGGGTATCTGTGGATGTTTTTCATAGCATCATTTCCTGTGGTACCTCCCTGCGTTGCTGGAGATTCACTTCCAGATAAAGGAAAACCATGACAGTGGCTGGGCTTCATGAAAAAGCTCAGATAAGTCCAAGGTCCTATCCCTTTATGATAATAAAATGTAGGTATCTAATTTCTTAGATTGCTGAAAAATTCTTCTGCCTCAGACAGCAGCTCCTGGTGGTCCCAAAGCCCTGCGAGATGGCAGCTGGCCCCTGCCCAAGGCCACCAAGTCCTCTGCACCTGGAGGGCTCCCAGTAGGGCTGATCCAAGGCAGCAGCTGATAAGTGATGCTCTAGCACTGATAAGGGGAAAGAGCAAAACACATTGTGCATGTGTTTGTCATGAAGTTTTTTTCTTGTTTGCTGCACCACAAAGGCTGTGTTACTGACAAATTGCTAGCCTAAGGTGACACAGGCAAGTCGTGGCTATTCAGCTATGAATAAGTAACCAAGCTACTTCACCTAAATCCTTTGAAACATTAGAAAGAGATGAAGTATGTTCTGGACTGGGGCTTCAGACAAGAGAAACACAAACCAAAACAATAATAAAAAGATTAAAAAAATTAAAAAAAAAAAAAACAAAAAAAACAACAAACCACCTAACAAAAACAAGACCGAAAACATTTAGAAGACTGCATCATATGATATGTAAAAAAGCCTGATCCAGGTGAATTATGAAGATACTGCACAAAAGAGAGTCAGATTCTCATCTCTGCCAACCTAGAGGTATTGTCATCAGTGTCCAGCCTCTGTACAGCAGAGTGTGTGTTCTATAGTATCTCTCACTGTATATCAGAGCACACACATCGTATCACTAATGTGTCATGGAAGTGCTAAAATAGTGGGAGGTGCAAAAAAAAAGTGGGAAAATAGGTCAATTCCTTTTCTTTTTTCTTTTCAAAATTAACTTTGAATATTTTGGTGGTGGGAGCACAGACTCACAGCTTCTTTAAATGTGAGAGAAATTGAAAAAATAAAAGGTGATGTCTCAAGAGCAAAGCTGGTACTTTGAATTTAGTATTTTGAGAAATGTTATTGCTATAGCAACTGCTAAAAGTTCAATACAGAGATAAAAGATCCTTTTATTTTCTTTTGTTTAATTTTCCTGGTAAAGTCAAATCTGTTGCTGGATGAAAAACAGAGCTGATGACAGAGTGGGTAAAAGCACTGTACCAGTGCCCAATCACATATAACCTTTGTGGGGTGCTGGTGGATGAGAGGCTGGACATAGCCCTGCAATGTGCACTCACAGCCAGAAAGCCAATCCTGTCCTGCATCCAAAGCAGTGGGCAGCAGGACGAGGGAGGGGATTCTGCCCCTCCATTCTGCTCTGCTCTGCTCTGCTCTGCTCTGCTCTGCTCTGGTGAGACCCCATCTGCAGTGCTGCATCCAGCTCTGGAGTCCCCAGCACAGGAAGGATGTGGACCTGTTGGAGTGAGTCCAGAGGAGGGTCTACAAGATGATCAGAAAAATGGAGCAGCTCTCCTATGAAGAAAGGCTGAGAGATTTGGGTTTGTTCAGCCTGGTGAAGAGAAGGCTTCAGGACAACGTAATTGTGGCCTTCCAGTACCTGAAGGGGGCTTATGAGAAAGATGGAGAGGGACTTTCTACAAGGGCATGTAGGGATAGGACAAGGGGGAAAGGCTTCAAACAGAGAAAAAGTAGGTTTAGATTAGATACTGGGAAGAAACTCTTTACTGTGAGGGTGGTGAAGCACTGGAACATGTTGCCCAAAGAAGTGGTAGAGGCCCCATCCCTGGAGGTGTTCAAGGCCAGGTTGGATGGGGCTTGGAGCAACCTGTAGTGCTGGAAACTTTCCCTGCCCATGGCAGGGGAGCTGGAACCAGGTGATCTTTCAGGTGTCTTCCAGCCCAAGCCATTCTATAATTCTCTGATGATTCCTCAGGTCATTTAGATACAGCACGTTGCCTTTCAAATGGCTTACTGAAGTTCACTTAACATAAACAATGACTTGCACAAGCTTTCCACGAGAGATGGTTATTAATATCCTAAATTTGTGCTATATTTCATACCTGCTGCAGCTTTATTTTGATTTCTTTTAGAATCTTGGTCTTACCTGCCATTTCTCCCTGTTTAAAAAAAATCTTCCTTCCTTTTAACAGAAGAACAAAGTAATAGCTATTTTTCTGACCCCACATGAAGAACTACACCCAGGAACAAGCTTATTTCAAATTTCTAGCATTTTAGCACAGAGTTTTTGCATCACAAT